TTTTTTTCAATCATTGCTCTTTTCACTTTACGTTGCTGCCTTTTAGGAACAATAGACCGTTTCTACAAGCTTCTGGCGTGCTTCAACGAAACTATGGCATACACAGGGTTGAGTCCCTTGTACAGTGGTGGACACGCATCGGTGTATGCAGCCATCCTTACCTCAGCCAGTATGTTGAGTTATGTTTGTTTAATCTTAGCGTGCACAGTAAAATCCTAAACGTGGATATTATTTTACATGTCAGTTGCTACCTTTGAGAAATTGGGTTATTTCCTTTGAACGTCGGCTTTTTCGTATCCTTCGACACAGTGATCGATGGTTGAATTCCAATCGTTCATAGGGTTAAAATACAGTATGAACATTGGATATAAATGTGGTAGGCTACGCGTGCTGTTATCCTACGACAGTCAGGACTGGAACATAAAAATTGTTTTGACAGCGGTTTAACACTATCCATTTTCTATATCCCTGTTGGATGCTATTTGAGAGGTCATAAAAATGGAAGAGCGTGGAAGTAAATTAGCAAGTCGCGCTCTTCGGGGTATCTTGTCGTCATTTGAACGCATTTTTGGAACGTTCTGTAGAGTTCAGTCAGCAGAATGAGAGCACACCTCTATGCGTTTCTTTAAGAATTGTCTCGCACAGAAATCCTACCTTCCTTTGAATCAGCTATGTGCGTGAAACAAGACGGAGACTGCTCTCGCATATCTGCTGTCCCAAATCGTAAATAGTGACACTAAAGGACTCCGCAAAATTAAACAGGGATTACACGCTAATTGCAACTGTAGACCGATATTGTGATGATCTCGAGCACAACTGACATATCTGATGATAACTTTAAAAATTCCCCTTGTCAATTCACAAGAACAGTTTGCGAGCATACATAAGCCTTCAAAGAGTTCTCTCCGGACGAGTACATTTATTTGAAAACGGGGTCGTGAGTTACGTAGTCAATTATGCTCGCCTGTTCATCTAAGTAAGTCGTAGGAATAGGTAAGAAGGGTAGGGGTTAATAAGTATCAGTTAGATACGCGACAGTGATGGTTCGGTAGAGCCGGTGCAAGGGTAGGAGGAAAAAAGTGAGTGCGGAAGTGTGCATTTATTTAGTGGACAGTTGGTCATGCCAAGCATGGAGCATGCAAGAAGTTATTTGTGCACACAAGACCGGCTTCCTAAACCTGATTACGAGCGATTATGCTTCTTCTTGCAGATGCTAGCCCAGAGACCTTGGATACTTTGATGGGACTTTGTAAACCAGTCAGGAGGCTTCTTTGGGGTCCAAACGACGCTAGGAATCAACAAGGAGGACGAGACTAGCGTTGGTTTTGCTCATAAAATTATCTTTTCTCCGCCATACCGCAACGGTTCCCCTTAAAAAACAACTAAAATAAAAAACAAATTACACTAAAACTAAAATTAAAATAAAAAGATGAAGTCTAAACAAAACTAAAACCACTCGTCCTGTAAGACAGGATTCTATATTGAGAGGTGCCTAAGAAGTTAGACCAATATTATCGTTACCCATTTTTGCAGCAAACAGTCATATTGAATATTTATGTCGGTTATTTTTCTGACGAGAAATAACTGACGAAATATTTTTGTTTTTGTCATTTTTCTCCGAAGTTGTCTGGAGTCAGTTCCTCGTCTGTCAGGCCAACTGGTCCGTAGGAATCGCCCTGACACCGAATCACAGCAGCGTCGGCTTCGTTTTGGCTTCTTTTGCTATCTTCTCCGTCCCCTTCGTTTTATCCACTTGTCTTGGGCTCGGCTACCTGGCGATTTCCTCCTCCCTTCGCATTGATCCTCTCATGGTTATGAATGGACAATATGGTATGAACTGAAAAAAAAAGATTTTCTCTCCTTGTTTTTGGTTCTTAACCTTTAGTGATTCATCAATCAATAAAACAAAAGTCAGTTACCAAGACTGCGAATGAAAATGTTAATAGTGTTTTGGAAACACGGACGCATCAATCCTAAAATGATAGGCATTAAACTGAAATGGTTCCTCTTTTGACG